CGACATATTGGACTGATCCCAACATTGGCGGTTGAATTGATGAACTCGACCAGAGTTCTACAGAATCGAGTGTGTGCCCCTTCATCTTGCATCTATTGCAATGTAGCACTGGACAGACTCCATAATTATGGTAGTTGCACCTACTGCAGTGTGGGAGGTTTCCTAAGTATGGTGTTGTTAGTGTTGCGATAGCATGGCTAATGGGGATATTGAATATCCCAGCTTGCTACCCTTCGGAGGGTTCTTGATTCGAACTACTCCCTTTCTTGTTCTTGAATTTTTATTTCAGGATATTAGGTTTGAGGTTTGGAGTGTCTTTACAAATAGGAACTCATTGTTGTACTTGGTTATCACCATGATTGGGATTGCCAATATCATTTTGCACTAACATTTGGGTTGTTAGCATTAACATGTGCCATGAGTGCTGCTACGGTGGTTGTGACCACAGCTTCAAAACTAACCGAATCTTTCTTAAGGATTGGTGCTTTGCCGGTGGGTCGGTTACGTTTCTTTGGAGGCATGATTTTGCTACATAATGAGAAAATGAGGTCGTGAGCAACGATGGTTGTTTCTAGTTTCATTTAACTATTTATATATACATATAAAATTTTCATTTTGTTATATGGATCTCAATGTTTCGACCTATATCCCTATGATGTAGTCCTGGTAAAGAGCTGAAGTAAGTTTTTAGAATGGTTATAAACTGAGTGTCGTCCGAACTAAGTTATCTTTGTTTGGAGAATATCATGTTCCAACTTTCGAAAAGATTTAAAAAAAAATTCATAATAGAGTCTACATAAAATAGACGCTTGAATTTTTATATATAATCACTCTCAATTGAGATTTTGTGATCCGATTTAGTGTTATCAGTTGTGATAGAAAAAGGCGATAACCTTAATACCTAACGTCACTAGTATAATCACTAACTCAGTAGGTTGTATCAAATTTATTAGTTATTATAGTGACGCAAAACGTACTCAAACACTTCACATGTTTCATGCATGGCTTCCCTCTGTTCTATGTTCTATTCCTGGCGGTAAATATTTGTTCTCTCCTGGTACCTATATGTTGTCCTTCTCCTTCATAGGTATATTGAATTCTCATGCTGTCTTTCTTCAAGTTTTGGCACTAAACCCTCATTACTTCATAATGAAGAGTTTGGATCACGGAAGTTCATGCGAACTTCTCATCGGTGCCCTTAATAAGGTAAAGGCATTAGATGCTTTTTGTATAGTTTTTTTTACTCCTCATATACTTCTTTCTTGAATTCCTCCTAACGAATTCCTTTCGGATCTTCGTTGATTCTTCACTTGGTCGTTGTCGTTGTGGAGTGGTTCTATCTATCTAAGTGGTTTATATGAGAATAGGAATGTATAAAGAATTTATGAGATTAATAAAACATTTTTGTAAAACTAAATTTTTACGAGGACGATCCTTTCCGGTCTTTCGATAATCACATATTGTGTATAGATTGTATACTATCCATATGAAATAGACCTTCGAATAAGTGATCCTGCTCTAAAACCACAACCAAACAAGGAACAGGAAGTAGAGTGAAAATCACATATTCGAAGTCTATAAAATCTCCACTATATATAACCTTAACATAAACACTTAGTAGATATAGACCTACCAATAGGGGTCTTTTAGTTTTCACTTACGTTATTTATAATACCTTAAATACTCCTATCGTATTTTAAATTTTATGTTTGGTTCTAGTATTCCTTTGTGTATATGGTTGGTATGTTTTAGACTCGTTGCAACACCATTGTCGAACCACCGAACTAGGACATCGGAAACACCCGGGGGCGGATGATGTCATTGTATAGTATCATCACAATTAAATATAAATGGACATAGCAACCCACACAAAATACATTAAGAGATACTAACATACATTGTTTTCATATTATATTTGTTCATTAGTTACACAAAATTGACATAAAAGTAAGAAATTCCAAAATGCAGCAAATCTGGATCATCGGTACATGCTTACTAGTTCCCTGAGAATACAATTCATTTTTGAAAATTATCAACATTGAATGTTCATGAGTTCATAAGCATATTTGTATGAATAGATTTGTAACATCTATGATGGAAAATAGTTGGTGTATCTCTAGAAAATCTGATATTTTCTATGAAAATGATTTGTAATCATTGTTTCTAAAATTGTGAATAAATGCATGCATGTCCTTGGTTTTATTTTGTTTGTATTCATAAAGTGTATGTTCCGAGAAAATTTAATAATTTTTTTTGTATAAAAATTGTGGTCTTAAACACAAGACCAGTAGTGAAAAAGCAATATTCTACCAAGAGGAAAAATGCAGTTTTATTTTTTATAAAACCGGTGAAATGTAAGCTTCCCGTAAATCAAGATAGTATTGTTAATCCCTAAGTGAGTTATTATAACCATGCTTGATGTGATTGTTATGCCTATTATGACGTTCTTCGGGCGTCAGAATCGGTAAGATACTTGACACCCTAAGTGGCCCCGTCTAGCTGTAGTGAATAGCTCAAGTGTGGGGGTGTCAATCCTCGTATATCTATACACAACTATCTCCCTCTCCCTCTCGGAGACTCTAATTATCATGCAAGACTTAGGATGTACACTAGGTAAGTACTGTAAAGATAGTGTCTCACTAGAGCATTAACGAATTTATTTGAACTTGGACTCCCTTTATTGAATAATGAAAACGTCATTACTAGTGTAAATTTATGACATGAGTTTTATGACATGCGGTTTACAGATTTCATGACATGCAGTTTGTTATCCATTCGGTATGAGTTTTTACGACGTGCCGTTTATGACATGCTAACATTTCTGTCATAAATCTGTTTTGTATACCTTTTTGGTTGAACTATTGATAACACTGTATAAAAATAGCCATTGGTGTTTGTGTCTAGTTGTAACTTATGTTGCACAAATAGCACAATATCTTGGGTTTTTATCTATCACACACCTAAACGAGAACGTCGGAAACGTCCGGGGTGGGCGACTTTATGCCAAGTGTCACAACAGATGCATTATAGTAATCAATGTACATCAACCATTGCATTAATAAGTATAAGTTTTTAAATAAGTGTTCGAACATTGAACATTTGACATTAAAAGTCGATAAAGTGAAAAGACAAAAGACATAGCACGGTACTAGGCTATCTTCACAAAAGGTCTGGGAGTGTACTTGTCTACTCGATTTGCTGAGAATGCAAGTTATTTTTAAAGAGAACCACTTGGGTTGTGGTGACTTGGTAAGGCATGTGGAAGATATGGTGGATAACCTATTGACTCATGTTCAAATCCTGGCACCACTCAGTCCTTGTGGCCATGGAGGTTCGCCTGCAGTGACTCCAGGGGATGAGGCAAAGCTTTATGTTTGCAACAGGGGATTAGTCGGTGCGCGAAAGCTGGTCTGGAAACCCTCGTTAGGGAAGTTCCGTTTCCAAAAAAAAGTTATTTTTAAAGAGAGAATCAACATTTAAGTTGGTGAGTTAATAAATATTAGTTTCATTTATGGTTGCAATAGTTTTAAGAAAGTGATTGATTACGTTCCAAAAAATCTTACATTTTCTGCTTTACAACTGAAAAGTAGTTTTAATGCCATAAAACCATCCCGTTTAAGTGTTATTGTATTTATAACAGAGTATGCAATTTTTTTAACTCACCATTAAATTATAAGAAGAATGTTTTCTGTTTTGTTTGCGGAAAATGATTGATGTGGTAGTATTTCTTAAAAATACACTACTTGTGAAATAACTACCCTATTATTAAACTTGTTAATTAGGGTTAAAATGTGATATGGTTATAACCATGCTGATTAACTAGGATAAACACGGCGACCTTCTAGCATCGAATTTGATGTGATATTTGTCACCCGTAGACCGACAGGTCCCACGGTAGCTAGCAGCGACATGTGGGACTATCAGTCCCGTATAGATCTATACACAGAATGCCCACTCTCCCTCCATAAGACTCTGGTTATAAAACACGAGATAACAAGTATACTGCTATGCCGTGAAGTAGTATCTCACATTTTGGGTTGTCTAGTTTAAGTAAAGATTGAATTTTATCCTTTTCTTAACAAAGTAGTTTAAACCTCGTAAACTTATCTAGAAAATAAATTTCTCATTTGTTTCATAAATTATACCTATTACAATTCGTATGTTCTATCTAATTAGCATGATCTCTCATGAATGTACCCCTTTGCTCTGTGTCTAACAAACGTAATGATACCAACTCAAGTAACCATTTATATATATATACACACACACACACGCACGCATAATACATCATTAAGAAGGAAACTACCTTTGGAAAAATAAAACTACCTTAAGTCCACATCCAAACAAGGAAAATGAAATAAGGCAAATCATCAGTCCTAAGTCCTTTAAATCTTATTTATGTACATATACACATGTAAATATGCTTTTGACAAATATAAGTCTAAAGAGTTTATAAAATATTTAAAAGAGTTTTACGGTATTCTAAAAGAGGTTATGTGACTTTAAAAGAGTTTACATGACTTTAAAAGAGTTTTCATGTCTTTAAGCCATTTTGGAAGTATTTGGTAATCCTTTATTGTAAAAAAAATATTTAAAACTATAAGAAAATCTTGTGTGTGATCGATATCACAGGTAATTATTAACACAATTAGATTGTGTTCAACTTGTATCCTCGCCCTAAAAAACATTTAAAAATATTTAAAAAGGTAGATTGTAGGGTATGAACTCACCTTTTGTTAGGGATTCGATTGAAGATTTCGTATAGGACGTTAGCTCCACAAGTGAAGCCGTGTTAACAAAACCGGTCCTAAACACAATTTATGTAATATGTAGGTATATTATTAATGAATATACTCATAATAATGCTAGGAAAACGAACTAATTTACTAGTTTAACTTACAAATAAGGGTGTTAGAAGAAAAGATGGAGGGCTGGCTGCTATTCACGACCATGTTGTTTATTCACGGCCCAAGAACACTTGGTGTTCTTGAGTTCACGGCCTAATATGGGTGATCACGGCCTAATATGGGTGCTGTTTGTTTTTCTGAAGCCAAAATGTCTGCAGTCTGCAGACCACATCTGCAAGCCTCTGCAGCAGAAGAGGTGGACCAAACGTCTGCAGTCTGCAATAAGAAGACTGTTTGTTTTTTTAACGTCTGCAGGCTGCTGAAATAAACTGAATTTTAAATAAAATTATTTTACAAACATAAATGATTTTTCAACACCAAAATTTTAATAATAATAGTCTTATAACATTGAAAATAAAATTCAGGCAACTAAATTAGTCATACAATAAAAAAAATAGTTTACAATAACAATTTCATTTAAAACAATTCAATATATATTGTGCATCAACTGATCAGCAATTTCATCACGTAACTAAGTCATATATTCACGGTCTGCTGCAGTACCATGTGTTGGAATCCCGTCTTCATCATCATCAATGGCCACATTGTTATTTCGAAACGGGACATTGGGTTCATCGTATCGTGCGAAATACTCATCATTCAATCCTTCTTTCCTTATATAATTATGAAGCGCGAAGCACGCCATGGCAATGTTTCTTTGTGTCACAAACGGGAATGGTGCCATCCTCTTCAATATAGGGAAGCGTGCTTTCAACACACCAAAAGCGTGCTCAATGACATTCCGAAGTTTTGCATGTCCATGGTTAAATTTTTCTTTATTGGTCAATGCACGTCTTTGACGAAAATCTCCAAGCCAATACCTCACATTACGATAAGGGGCCATAAATCCTCGAGTGTATGCATACGCGGCATCACAAAGATAATATTTGTCTGAAAAAAATGCAAAACACTAGTCAATTTTCAAATTAAAATAAAAATATTTAAAAAAAACAAAAATTTACCTGGTGGTGGAAACGGGAATGATGCTTGTGGATCGGCTACTGCTTCTGATAATATTCTAGAGTCATGCGCTACCCCTTCCCACCCGGTCACAACAAATGTAAAAATCATATTGAAGTCACAAATTGCCAATACATTTTGGTAGCAATCTCCCTTTCCCCTACTTCTATATAAGTCTTGTTTCTTAGCAGGGACAACAACATGTATCAAAGTGCCATCAAGTGCACCAACTGCTCCTTTGAAAACCCTTCGTAGCCTTCTATTATGTCCTGGAATGTTTGGATTCGGATTAAAAGATGTTGGTACTATAACATCTTGTGCGAAAAGCATCATTTTTTCCAACACTTCATAAAAAAATTTATGAACTGTTTGCTTCGAGTGTTGAAATCTCCGCTTGATAATCACGTAACGTTCATTATGTCCGATCATCATAAAAAACATAGCCATCTTTTCCTCAACTGATACATGTTTGTTGTCCTTTAATGAGTAATTTGCTCTAAAATGAGCACACAGTCGTACAAAAGATTCACGGGACATGCGTAATACTTCAACACATTGTAAATGATTACGGTGTAATAACTCCAATGTGTATTCGTGTCCCGTCATTTCCGAATCATTATCCCGCAATCGTTTCACACCCCTTTTCCAAAAATAACGGATGTATAGGTACATTAGAATTACGAGAAGTAACTTTTGATCGTGATCCATATCAACCTAAAATCAACAAAGTAGAACTTTAAAAAACATTACATAAACCATATTTCAAGTATCAAATAAACATTCCATTTATCATATTTCAAGCCAAAATAACATTACATAAACCATATTTCAAGTATCAAATAAACATTCCATTAATCATATTTCAAGTACCAACAAGGGCAAAAAGACCTAACAAAATAGTTCCAACAAAGGCAAAAACATTTAACAAAGTAGTTCCAACAAGGGCAAAAAGACATAACAAATACTTTCAACACTAGAAAATCATCGAACAATCTTCCCATCCTTCAAAACTCCTAAACTGGTACCCGTCATCTCAAGCCACCCTCGTAATATCTCGGGAACATCGGCCAAATGCATCCACATCTCTCTCATGTTCATGGTTCCTCCAAAAATATGATATGCGACAAAGCGTAAAGGATCTGTAGGGCCTAACTGAAGGACCTCTAACTTCTCTAAAAACTGAGGAATTGTATACCCTTTAGTCAAACTTTGTAGAGCTTTCTTCATTTCAAATGCTAAATCGTCAGCAGTAACAGAAGTTCCATCAGGTGAAGAAGCAGATGGTGAGGCACTAGGAGCTACAGGAGTTGAGGGTTTAGCCCTTTTGTTGGGGTTACCGGATGGTGTAGCAGTATATGGTGAACGAGCAGAAGGTGAAGCAGCAGAAGGTGAACCAGCAGAAGGTGAAGCAGCAGAAGGTGGTGGCTCATGATGAGAAGTGTGTACACCATCATCATCCATTGCATCAAAAGGGGTGGCGGTGATCTGAAGTGGTGGAACACGATAGGAGGATGCGCCAGCTACTGATGATGATTGGGTTGAGTAACTCCTAAAATTACCAGTAGCACTATTTCCATCAAAAAGACGTGCACAAAGATCTGGAAAAGGCAGTGGAATTGTTCTCAAAGAAGCAGCTTTTGGATGCCCCTAAACCCAAATGTACCAAGAAATAGTATAAGAATATTTGGCAACTTCAAACGTAAATGTTATATATATATATATATATATATATATATATATATATATATATATGTATATATATATAAGGTAAATGTTATATATATATATATATATATATATATATATATATATATATTATTGTATATTAATGTTATATGTACCTTCTTAAAATCATCCCACTCCTCGGCTGTTAAATTAAAAGTGTTTGTTTGAGAATTGTATATATTACCGGTTTTGTTTTTTAAATATACCCATCCAGTGTATTTGGCTTTCAGATTGTCATATGCGTTTTTCATTTGTTTTTGAGTCAACTCAACCCCAAATTTCTCCTTAAGAACTCTTCCAAGCCTTATTCATGAATCTTTCTGCAAACTCAATCCTTTTCTACCAACACTCTCTACTTCTTCAATACAAGTATCCAATAAGCATTTTAAATGCTCATTGGTCCATTGTTGTTTTTCTCCCATCTCTAATAACCAAATAACAATAAACAATCAACAAGTAACATCATTATTTCAAGAAAAAGTTTTTATTTTCACGACAAATTTGTTTTACGACACTTTTGTAATTTTGTTTTATTTTCAATCATAATAATGTTGAACTTTTTATTCAATTATAAATAACCTCAATTAGAGTGTTTTAATTCAAAGTTTTCTAAAAAACTTTATAAATCAAATAAACTTCACTTTAACGACAAAAACTTTACTTCTATCAAATAAACAAAACTTATGACTCTTTTTGATGCTTTCTATCATATACATACAAAATCAACAATCATATACATATACACTATCATATAAATGTACACAATCAATAATCATATATATATATACACAACCAAAATCAACAATGATTTTTCTCGAAACCACTCCATTCGTCTTTATGATAATTATAAATGAAATACAGTGATACTTGAGCAGATAAAAATGGTCAAAAAAAGTCGGAGGCATTTACATTAGGGACAAAAAGTATTACACGTGATACTTGAGCGGATAAAAATGGTCAAAAAAAGTCAGAAGGGATCCAATACATATTTTTGGACATACCATAGGGATGACTTTTCTAAATTTGCTCAAAAGCTAATATAAGCAGCAAACATACTTTTATCTATTCTAAATGGTCACTGAATTTTAAAAATTGTTATTAAACCACTATCATATTTAGCAAATAAGAATTTTCATCAAGAAAAAGCTTGATTTCAACAACTAACATCATTATTTCATAACATTATTTCAAGAAAAAGCTTTGATTTCAACACATTCTAGGCAAATTATATCATCCACAAATCAAAAATCTTATTCATATACACTATCATATATACATACACAATCAACAACCATATACATATACACAATCAACAATCATATACACATTCACAATTAACAAAAGAATATGTTATCTTTTGCATGGTAGTTATGTTTATTGGCTTCCAATCAAAAAAATTATAGATCCCAGGTGTGAAAAAACAGGAAGACAGCTTGCAGGTAAGGTTTAACAAGAATGATAGCTTGCTGGGAATTGTTTACAGGTAGTATTTTCAATTTTAGCAAGAATATATGATAAATTATACACCTCCAAGATTTGAATATGAAGGAATACCCAAAAAAATTAATATTTTCGGGGAAACAATGATGCAAATCAAACAAGAAGTTGAATTGAAATTGAATTGAAAGAGATAGGAGGGACGGCGACGACATACCTGTTCGCTGCAATTGAGAAGCGGCGCTTGCTGTTTGGAGGCGACGACCGGAGATGCGGCCGGAGAGGAGGGTGGCGACGGGCGGTGCGGCGACAGATCGGAGGTGACAGTCGGTCGGCGAAGCTTGCTGGAGTGAAGATGGAGTTGTCGAGCGTGTACAAAGACGAGAGGCTTGGACGAATGGAGGCGGAAAAAATAAAATGCGTCTTTTTTTTTTAGGTCAAATGAACTTGGCAGACTTTAGAAGAGGTTGGCCCATATCTGTGTGGTGAAGACCTCGAACAGACGTTTTTATGTCTGCGCACTTCAGAAAAACAAACGCACTTCAAACCTATAAGTCTGCGCGTGGTCTGCGCCGCGCAGACAGAAGACCTCCCGCAGATCTGCAGAGAAAATACAAACACCATCTTGGTGTTCTTGAGTTCACGGCCTAAGAGTCTTGACAAACGATGAAGAATCAAGGTTGAAATCAAGTGAACTCCGAATGAACTAGAATGAGGAAGGTTCTTATTATGGTATTGAGGAGAGAGGAGGGTTTTCGGCTGATGATACTTAGCGAGAACACTTGACTTCACGGCAAAAAGTGAAAAAGTGAAGGATAAATAAGCCAAAATCATATATATATATATATATATATATATATATATATATATATATATATATATATATATATATGGAGGATTGTACGGCCCGAAGAAGGGTTCACGGCCGAGGACAATTCACGGCCGAAGAGTTCACGGTTGCGAGGGTGTATTCAAATCTGCGAGGTTTGCGGTCCATACGAAGTTTGGGGTTGAGACAAGGGCTTAGCGGTTCTTAAGTGATTTTCCTCCTTAACACAGTACACTTTGAATACAAAATCTATACATCTATAACTTATTACTCTAAGTATTTTAAGGTAATTAAAGAAATAAATTTCACCTTTAATTTATATGTTGGACTTTGGTTGACTAAGTGTGACTTTCACAAGAACAAAATTTTTAGGTTGCCACATTAAACCATCAAAATCGTAACAACATAATTACGACTATTTTAGAAAAAGTTTCTTGTAAAATAAAATATTGACTTTTGTAGTTTGTTCAACATTCTATCACGGCTTTGAAAGTTTTGTAACGCAAAGTATTTTATTTTGTTTTGACTATTTTATTTTTACAACACTACATATAATAACTTTAAGATTTATTATATTCAAATATTATTTTATTTTGATTTGACTATTTTATTTTTACAACACTACATATAATAACTTTAAGATTTATTATATTCAAATATTTGGTTGAAGTTTAAGAGGTGAACATGCATATGTCCAAGAGTTAAACATGCATGGGAATACAAACTCATGTTTTCGCCATTTTCGAGTGTACAATCATGACCATGAAATTTTATGTAAGAAAAGTGTTATCAACATTTACTTCATGATTTTTACACATGATGAGAACATTTTTATTCAAGAACTTGCTCCATTTTTAACCCATAACTACGATGCATGCAACTACCCAAAGGACAAACTTATTCTAGCATACATAAAGCTTGTAAATCACGTTTTATGGTGTGTTAGCATCAAGTATTCAACATCATAAGCACAATTTGTTACCTAAACATTATGGTGCGTGCAAATATTTAAAAGGTAAATGAGACTTGACTTGTATCCCCCCCTCGGGAAAAATATGAAAAGCACGAAAAGATGGGGGTATGAAGCGCACCTTGTTGATTTCATGAGTTGAAGGAAGAAAATGAAGAAGGAAGTTTTTGAGCCTAGATTGATCTTGGAGAGATTCTCGAAAAGGTTGATGTTCTAAGGAGCTACACACAAAAATGTTGTGTAAACATGGAGGTTTAGCTTGAAGAGGTGCAAAAATACATGAAGTTTACAAGAACACTTACCAAATTCTATGGATCACCATGAAGGAAATGTTACTCCTTGAAGCACTTTGCTCGAATTTAAGAGAGAGGAATGCAGGAAATGTAATTAAAGTGAAGTGAAAATGGTGAGAGTGGGGAAACATCCCCAAACTCGACTGCAAGTTTAATAGAGAGAAGGGAATTAGGTGTTTTGTTCCATGCTGGTCCATTAGATGGTGTTCATGGATGTGTGATGGATACTTATGTATCTTGCTTGCTTGTTCCATGGTTAAGAGAAGGTAAAGTGGTGAGGTGTCACCATAATTGTAATTTCTTTTCTCTTTTTTTGTTTGTCTTGACTCTAAACTGAAACCTTAGGAGGTTTTCGGCCATAGAGACTTCCCAAAGGGGTTTCCGGTTTTAGGTTGGCTAAAAGCACCCTATATTCTTAATGATTTTTCTTTTTGGAGTACGTATGAGCTTTTGGACTTACTTGGGACTAATAAAAGGGTTTTCAGTCCAGTAAGGCCAAAAGATGGGAATTTTTGCATGGTCCAATGTATCTTGGGTTCTCGGTTCGGACCAATCCAGTCAAGTATGTTGAATGCTCCAATGTATCTTGGGTTCAGCTTTCCACGCTTCCCAAAGAATGTCATCCCTTTCAAAGGAGAGACTTTTAGCAGTACACAATGACCCACTTGAAATTCCAAAGGCTGTCGTCTTTTATTTATGTAGCTTTTTTGTCTGTCCTTGGACGCTTTTAATCATTCCTTAATTTGGACGATGTTCTTAGTTGTTTCTCTGATGGTTTTAGGACCGGTTAGAGTGTTTTTGGGTACTATTCCCTTCGCCAATTGTATGTATCCTACCTCCACCCAATAGAGAGGTGATCTGTATTTTCGTCCATATAATCGAAGGGAGCTACCTTGATGTTTGTGTGATAGCTATTCTAGTACGAGAATTCAATTAGTGGCAAGTGGACATCCTATGCCTTGATGAAGTCTATCACACAAGCCCTTAGCATATCTTCTATGCTTTGGATGGTCCTCTCACTGTATTCATCTGTCTCAGGATGGTAGGCGGTGATCATATCGAGCGGGTCCGGTTTAAAGGCTTCGTTCGTGATGATTTCTAGTTTCAAGGCTTCCAACTGTGCCTCCTTGATTAGTGAAGACAAATAGGAATGAATGGTCATGTTGGATTAGTTTCTAAGCCTGTAACCATATTTAGTAGGTACTTGACCCGGTTGTGCATGGTCGTTTTGGGTTGCCTTCATCAAAGCAACTTGACTAGAGAAATAATAGAGAAAGAGGTTATTATGACTTATTAATATATTATAAGAATAATATATTAAAAGAGAAATCATATTTGTTTAGTTATCATTAGTCAAGAATTAATTTTGTGATCAAAAGAAGTTAACTGAACCAGGGGGACTGAACAGTAATTATGTTATAGTTGCAAAGTAGGGCAAAGGATGCCCAATATGATAGGGTAGACAAATTCAAGGGGATAAGGCCTTAGAATTCATTCATGATAAGGATTCTAGGGTTATCCTATGGTTTTCTTGGTGGGCAAGTAATCAAATAAGGATAAGGACCGAAACACTAATCTCTACACCTATATAAAGACCGATTTGATGGTTTTTATACAAACAATCCTATGTGTACATGCAACCCTAACATTGGATCTATGTTTTCACTATTAGATACACAACATTATGAACACATAATAAAATCCTAAAGATGATTGCTATTTTCGAAATTAACCAGGAAGGTTAGATTACATACCTCTTGTTGTTATATTGTAATAACAACATGAATCTTCAAACCCTGAGTCTTGAAAGCAAGCACCACAAGTGTAGTGCCTCTAATGGATCACAAACACCAAGAGCAATTGGAGAGGCTATAGAGAGAGAGGAGAGGTATAAAAATTCGTCCCTAAGAATCCTTGGAAGGTATTGACGAATTCATGAGCCAAAGGGGTGTTTATATAGGTGTAGAGATTAGGATTTCAGTCCTTATCCTTATCTAGTTGCTTGACCACCAAGCAACCCATCAGATAAGCCTTGAATCCTTATCATGGATGAATTCTAAGGCCTTATCACCTTAAATTCGTCCAACCTATCCTTAGGATAATCATTACCCTATTTTGTAACTATCACATAATTACAATTCAGCCCCTCTAGTTTAATTAATTACATTTGATCACAAAATTAATTCTTAATTAATTATTGACCAATATTAATTAAACAAATATGATTTCTCCTTTAATATATTATTCTTATAACATATTAATAAATCATAATAACCTCTCTCTCTCTCTCTCTATTATTTCTCTAGTCAAGTTGCTTTGGTGAAGGCAACCCAAAAGGACCATGCACAATCGGGTCAAGTACTTACCAATTAGTGTTACAGGCTTAGACACTAATCCAACAGTCTCCCACTTGGATAAGTCTAGTAACTATAGATGTAAGTACACCTCGATTTGCAATCGTAGCTCTCAAAGACGCTGTCAAACTGTGATCTTATCAGTAACCTGTCCTTCAGATAAGGGATCATATATTCCTCCATTCTAGATATCGTATAGACACGAGACATGGATTAAAATCATTCTCTCAGTCTATGTGTTGTTTTGTTGATTTTCAATTCACGACGACCGACTAACTGAACAAATCAAATTAGCCCTACCCAGCCGAGCATTTACCTTTGTCATCACTAAATCATCGACGGGCCCACAGATATCGCTTTTATCCCGCTTTGGGTAAAAGGAACAGATAAACTTTGACTTAATGTCTGCTTGCACTCACTCATCAAATCACACACAACAATAATTTTTATAACACCGAGTTACTGGTGCGTTTACATATTATCAATGTGCAACCGATTTGCAAGATAAAACTCACACATCTCGGTTTCAAGAATATAAGATGTTATTGTCTCACCAATCACTCGTGATACAATTCATGGAGTGATCCAAGTGAGCGTGGGTTTAATCTAATGCTCAAATAAGCACTCATGAACGTTGCAACAAACATTTACTTATGTCTAATACTCTTTTAGACAATCCACACACCAATTCACGACAGTCTTCATTCATATCTACTTCCAACATATGAACGACTGTGGCCCGTTCGAATAATTTGACTGTTCTAAACCAATTAAATTATTCAGGAAGTCAAAACATGCAAAGTGAAACACAAGAATAATACTAATCTCATATGGGCTCAAACCTTTGAGCATAAATAAAACACCTTTTATTTATCACCATATTGATTACTCATTATTTGTCGTTTCGGGTAATCGACTTCTTACTTGAATTATTACACTTATCCCATGCTCCTAGCATGCACACAATGTTTACCTATGGTTCTTTCTTTGTGAAATAGATCGAATTGAACACATTTCCAATCATTCTCATTTCACAACTCCAAATCCTTTTCCATAAGTGAAAGAATATCAAATTCTTGCTACTTATAGAATATGCTAGATTCTAACATTTTATGCAATGATCCTTTCGTAATGTCACTGCACCAAAGTCACAAACACTATTGCCAATGATATTACAA